CATATACAAATTTTGAACGGTCCAACATATCTCGGACTGAGCTTACCTTTTTTCCCGAATCTGATAACACCTTTCCATGGAGAAACTTTCAACATCACAAGATCACCTATACAAAATTCAATTGGCTTTCGACGATTATCAGCGTAACTTTTCTGGCGGTCTTGTGTTGTTTTAATTCTTTCACGGATCGACTCAATCTTTTCAAAAGTTTCTTGAACAATCTCAGACCCGTTAACTGCTTTTCCCCTACCTCGTTCCAACACAACAGGGTTTGACATTTACATCCATACAGTACTACATACGGTGCCTCTTGGATGCTGGAATGATAACTGTTATTATAAGCAAACTCTATCAACGGCAAATGATCGTCCCACGATCCCCCGAAGTCTATGATACAATTTCTCAACATATCTTCAAGAGTCTGGATAGTTCTTTCACTTTGCCCGTCAGTTTACGGATGATAGGTTGTACTTAATCGGATTTCAGATCCCAGAGCTTTCTGCAAACTCTCCCAAAACCTTGAAGTGAAACGACTATCTCTATCAGAGATAATAGATAGCGGAACACCGTGTCTGGTTACAATTTCTTTAATATAAATTTGTGCTAGCTTTTCTAAAGAGTATCCCTATCTTATAGGTAGAAAATGTGCAGATTTAGATAGACGATCAACAATTACCCAGATTGCGTTGTACCCCTTTTGAGTTCGAGGTAACTTCATGACGAAATCCATTGTAATGTGATCCCACTTCCACACAGGAATCTCCAAAGATTGAATACTTCCATACGGCTTTTAATGCTCAATCTTAACCTGTAGACACGTTATACACTGTTCCACATATCTAGCTATATCTCTCTTCAATTCGGGCCACCAATAAAAAGATTTCAAATCTCTATACATCTTATTGGTACCTGGATGAATAGAGTAACGAGATTTATGGCTTTCTTTTAGAATAACTTTCTGGATATCCTCGAAATACGGTACCCAAATTTGCCCTTGAAAGCATAAAATTCCTTCATTGTTCGGTTCCAAAGTCGAAATCAACTTACCCAATCTTTCTGAACTAACAAAATCTTCTTTCATGGCTTCTTTCTGACATCTCAGAATTTCTTTATAAGTATCAGGGACTAAATTTATTCTCATCGTCGTGGTTTTAATAGTCCCACTCTTTTATTTTCTACTTAAAGCGTCAGCTACCACATTGGCTTTCCCTGGGTGGTAAAGGATTTCACAATCATAATCATTAACAAGTTCAATCCATCAACGCTGTCGCATATTTAGTTCTTTCTGGTTGAACAGATGTTGCAGGCTTTTATGATTAGTATAAATCTGGCACTTTGTTCCCAGAAGATAACGCCTCCAAATTTTTAAAGCAAATACCACCGCGGCCAGTTCCATATCGTGAGTTGGATACTGCTTCTCATGATCCTTCAGTTGCCTTGACGCATAAGAAATTACCTTTCCTCTTTGCATCAAAACACATCTCAATCCTAGTTTCGAAACATCGCTATATACTTGTTGGTCCCAAAGGGTCTACAAGAATACTAAACAGTTTGTAGAATGGGGGGGATGAATACAAACACAATTTTCAAATTTAAAATATATATTGATAGAGAAGATCAATACAGATTTTACAAGATTGTTTGCGGAAAGATAAGGTA